GAAACCAATTACTTCGTCCTATTATATGTATTTGCAACGATCAGTAACTACCATCAATTTATCTATTGTATGAAACAGTTGTCGCTCTATTTATATTAATTGACTTGTGAACTATTTTATCATGTAATTTTTTTAGATATGCACCAGTTTTACGTCCTCTTCGAACAATTGCTCAAGTTTTTCAATTTAAAATACCGCCAAGCACAATTGTTGCCAATCGTTTAAAAGAAATTTGCAGAATCGAAAAAATATCAGTTGATATGAGAACTTTATCTCATTTAGCAGAATCTGCAGATGGTGACATCAGAAGTTGCCTGAACAATTTACAGGTTTAAGAAAAATAGTTAATCCAAGAACTTATCATAATAATCAATTCGGTTTATTAATATATCTATCTATATGCATATTATGATTGTTTTTATTTAGATCTTAAAAGGACAAAACAAAAGCAAAACAACTAATGTGGTAGATCTTGGTGGAAAAGATATTAATCCTTCTTTGTTTAAAGTTTGGGATGAAATCTTTCAATCTCAAACATCAAAAATAATAAAAATGGGAAATAATCTTAAATTTGATGAATATGGTAATCCGAGAGGTAATTTTTGAAATATATTTAATAACACCCTTTAAATTTTATAGGAAAAAAATCTAATCTACATGAACATTTATTGTTTTTAAGATCCTAAATCTTATGGATATATAGAATATTTCGTTTCAATGATCTCTAATAATGGAGATTATGAAAAATTGATGCAAGGTTACATACAATTTTATAATTTAATTCAAAGTTTGGATTTGAAAATATAAACTTTAATTTTGCTAAACATACACACAATATAATAGGATGCTTTGAAAATTATTTGGATATAAAAGTTCATAATCAGATGTCAAATATAACTAAAATGTCAGAATGGATCAATCTTTACGACACTTTAAACACTTGGACTAATACAAGACAATCATATGAATTATTGGGTTATTTTCCTTTTCCATTGATCAACTTTCATCGATATTTTGCCAGCAATTCAAAACAATATATCAGATTTCCAAAAAAAGATTATGAAGTAATATATTTTTTAAAATATAATATATACATATCTACTTGTAAGTTTTTCATTGATTAAATATTCATTTTATATATTTATTTAACTTGATATAGAATGCCACGAAGCTTAAGGAAAATGAAAATATACTTACATCTGTCCTGAAATCGTTGCCTCCTACTATTCAATGTAAACTAAATATTGGAAGATTCACTATAGAAGTTTTACCATATTTATTAAAAATGATATCTCCTGAATTAGTATTGGTAAAACTAGTTAATTTATTCGCTAATTCTCTCTTACTATAAAATCCATCATTACAAATGACACGACACACACACACACACACTATATATATATATATTTAAATTAACAGGGAAAAGTGCAATTTGTCAATGATTCAAACAAACATAAAATAACAAGAATTGTCGAAATAATGACGCTGCTTAATTTAAAGTATACTAACCAAGCAAATGAAAATGGGAGTTATTCTCTTGACCCGTAAGTAGATCAAATAATATTTTTATTTGTTTGTTTTTTATTGTTTCCATTGAATAAATAAGTCTTTACTATTTTATTTTATTTTATTTGGTTTTATTTTAGACCATTAGATCATCTATTATTAATTCCTCCTGACAATAAAACGGAAATTCAACACAATGCTAGGAGACTTGTGGCTCAAGAGGTGTGTTTTATTATTACTATTATTATTATTATTATTATTATTATTATTATTATTATTATTATTATTATTATTATTATTATTATATATTTATTCTCACACAATATGTACATTTATAGGTTCATAAAGCTTTAATAAAAAAATTGGGAAAAGCTCCAGTAAAACAACATAGTAAAAATATGTAAGCCACAAATATCAAGAAATTATACAAGTTAAATATTGGTTTATTTGGTGTTAATTATTGTTTTATATTTTTATTTTTATAGAACTTTTGAAGATAAAAAAATAAACTCATTAAATGATTCTAATCCACGAAGCGTTATTCAGGTTGTTATTTAACTTTTAATTGATTAATTCGTCAGATATTATAAAATAAACAATTTTTATTTTATTAGTCAACATTGGACTATTTTAAACTAAATGATGGAAAAAACGAGGAACAATTTAAAGAATCGGAAAATGGTAAATATTCAAATATCAATCAATCAATAATAATATTATTATAATATATTTAATTTAAATAATAAACAAATAATTTTTTTTTAGTGAATCTTCTTTTGGCAAAGATTCATTATCAACATAATGAAGGAACCAATAAATACGTAAGGATGCAAATGAAAATGAGGGATTTTTTTTAATTTGTAGGCATATCTTTCTCTTGTTTGTATAATATTTGTAATTTATTACAATAATTGATTTACATATAGCATGATAACGATCATATTTGTTATTTTGTAATATATGTGCGCACATTAAAAGAATTTGTTCTTAAAATCTAGAAACTACAAAAAATTTTACACTCAAATAAAAATAAATATTTTAATTTCTTAAATAATCACATCCTATACACATTACATTATCCAAATCATTATCAAAAGTACATCTAGGACATCCCCATTTTCTGAAAGAATTATTATCAATATTATTATTATCTTCTTGATCAATGATTATAATTACACCACTATCAGATTCTAAAATATTTTCTCCACAATTAGGTCGTTCTTCTAAACAAATTTCACATTGTAAAACCAATGGTCGATTTACGAATGTACATTGTGGGCAAGACCATTTTTCTGTTTCAGAATTTGTTTTAGTTGTGGTGACTTTTGGTAACTTATCAGCAGGTATTCTAACTGCACGTGATCTATTATTATCATTGAAATTATTTGTGGTGATGGTGGTGGTGGTAATGCCGTTACTACTACTACTACTATTAATAATAATTTCATTTTGAAATCTTTCACCGCCACACCAAACAATATCTTTTAACCTTTGTTCTATCGCCATAGCAGTCAATTCTCTTATTGGCAAATTATAATTGGTATGGACAGTTCCACCTAATCTTATTCCGCCTTTTGGCATTATTCTTTCCAATTGTTGTTTTTTCTCTATTGTTTCTAATGATTTAAGACCTGCAGATGCTAATGGAACATTATTACTCTGGCCTAGACGATAATGATCACCAAAGAACCAATCCCCGGTATGACCTTTTACTAAAAGTTCATCATATTCATCATGTAATAGATCTAATAATTTATAAAATTTTGCATCATGTGGAGCACATTCAATATGTGATAATCTAAGAAAAAAAAATAATAATGATAGTAAGTAAAGAATTTGAAAAAAATTATATTTTATATATTAAAAAAAGTTTATGGAATTTTCTTTACTCATGAAGCATTGTCCCAATTAAATCATTGAAATCAAAAAATCTTGTTTGATCATAATGTGGACGTAAACGTATACATATTTTTTTACCACGATCAATATTAAGACCTAAAAACAAAAATTCACATTATTATTATTTTTAAAAATAAAACAAAATATTCATATTTAATACCTAACAATCTTTGATCATTTGGATAAAACTCTTGTAAAATTGTCACGCGCCAATTACGTTTTTTCATAATAGGTTTTACCTACACAAATGAGAATTTATGATTTATATAATGTAAAAATAGCAAAAGGCTTTTAAATAAATAGTATTATGTGTATATATATATATATATATATATATACATGTGAAGCTAATTTCTTCAGTAATTGTAACGCTTCTTCATGATTATGAAACTTTTTAAGTTGTACGAAAGAACTAATACGATCGTCTTGGACTGACATTTTTTTTCTTCAAGAAGAAAAATTGTAAATCTATTCACCGCGTAATTATTGTTTTTAGGGATATCCGAATACTTTCCTGTTTAAACTATAATAGTAATGATATATTAATATATATAGTAATAGTGATACTAACCCGAATACGTTATTATTACTATTATGCCATACTAATTACTTGATACAACCAACATCTTTTCCCGAATTTTTTTTGGTGATCGACGTCGACCTTCAGGATTTATTCCTTCTTCTGGAAAGCTTAAAAGTTTATCAATCAAATTACCGCACTTGGAAATTAATTATCTTTTGTCTTTTTTTCATTACGACTGAAGTTTTCTGAACTTTAATAAACAACAATTTACGTAAAGCCATATCAATACGAAAGCTTATAATATTTCCATCTTCTCAACCAATCATCAAGTTCATAAAGGTAATATTGAGAAAATCTTAGTTTTGATGCTATTTTTGAATAAATATGGAGAGCATCTCTATCAATATGAGAGAGGTATTGGTTATGTAGTTCCAAAAAGATTGTAAATACGTACCACAAAATTTATTCTTCTTCTTGCATGCATTTTTTTTTTGGCTATATCAATATATTAATAGATCGATCATTATTAATATAACCACATTATTAACTCATCTACAAACTCCAAAACAACTTTAGAAAATTCCGGTTGCTAAAATTCCATTGAATTTACATTATAGGTAAACGTTATATCATTCATTGATATAACTTATTAATATATTCGCCAACACAATGAAGAGGGCGCACCAATTATTCACGAATATTGGGTAAGTAATTTTGCGATGGGGATTTACATATGTAAAATTCGTTAATTGATTGGTTGCATTTGTATATCATAAGTTCCAAATTTGTATCATTATTATTCAATCACTAAACAATTGTAATAGTTCGCCAACTAATTAAAGAAACCATGTTTCGACTCTTTCTTTATTAATATTAAACAAGAAATTAAATTTTCTAAAAAAAGAATATTTTTTTGTTGTCTAATTTAATTTAATTTATTTCTTGTTTCATTCCGTCCGACCTTTACTGTTTTAATAAAAAGTGTTGTTGTTAGATTACACAGTAAATGTATATAAATAAATAAAATATAAATAATATCTTTTTTTAATTTTGAAAAAACAAAAACAAAAAAATGCTAAAATCGTCTGATAGCGTCGATTCCCAATTAGATTTTGAATCGTTTTCTTCGAAAGAAATTAAATGCGATTCATTAAACGATGAAACGTTGACCATTTCAACTGGGCAAACTTCTATTTTTGGCACAGAGTCAGATATTGAGGATATTGACCTGGATCGTTTAATTCACGAACGTCATGTGTTTGTAACTTCTGGAGCCAACTTAGAGGTCGAACATGATCCAAATCAACAAAGTAAATTTAGATTATTATTTAGTCTTTTAAAAAATTTCATTGGTGTAAAAGATATTGTAACTTTGTAAGTCTACAACTTCTTTTTTTTTTGCTGAAACTTTATTTAAAAATTTTATTTCATTAAATATAATGTTAAATGATTTTTTTATCTATTCTCACTATCCTTTAGACGTATTTCACTTCCTGCTCAATTACTTGAACCAATTGGAAACTTAGAGTATTGGAATTATAATGACAGACCTGATTATTTAATTTGGTAAAGGTTAATCTATGATTATGAATGCGCATTAGACGTCATAGTACATATTGTATATATATTTAATTTTTAATTTTTATCAAATCTTAGTATTGGTGACTCGGATGATCCGTTGGAAAGGATGTTTGCTACTATTAGATGGTGGTTTTCTAAAGATTTAAAATATGTTGTATGTAAATGCTGGCATTATTAATCAGAATATAATTGTTGTCAAATATTGTAGAATAAAAATAAAAATAATAGTAATTAATCATGACATTTCTATTACTATTTAGAAAGGAAAGTTGATAAAACCATATAATTCGATTCTTGGAGAACAATTTTCATGTCATTGGGATGTTTCAGAACCAAGATTTGATAAAAAAGGAAACTTCATTGAGCAACAAGAAACGTTAAATGAAAATGACAACAATCAAAAGAATTATAGAGTTACATGTTTAACAGAACAAATATCACATCATCCACCAGTTTCAGCTTTTTGTTATCATAGTGAAGATAAAGGAATAACTGCTCGTGGAGTAGATCAACTTTCAGCAAGATTTACTGGAACTTGTAAGAAAATTTTGAAAATTGGATTTCTTTTTTTCTTTTAATTTTTGAATAATAAAATTCTTTACATATATATATATATATATATATATATATACATACTAGCTGTAAAAATTGGACCAGGTGAACAAAATAAAGGAATTTACATTAATCTGAGTAAAAGAGGAAATGAAGAATATTTATTAACTCATCCTGTAGCCAGTGTGCAGGGTTGGTTAAAAGCTTCACTATATATAGTTGTTGGTGAAAGCTGTATTATAACTTGTCCAAAGACAAAATTGAAAGCAATATTAGAATATAAAGAAGAGGTAAATATAATATGATTATTTATTTATATAGTATTTATATGTAAATAATGTCTATGTATAGACTATATAAATAATTAATTGATTAAAAATAATTACTTTTTTTTTTAAAAAAAAAAAGCGATGGCTTGGAAAACCAAAATTTGCCATAGAAGGCAAGATATTTAAATATGATCCGAAGAATGATGATAAAAAAAAATTGAAGATAATTAACGAAAATGATGTTTTAGCCGAAATCACTGGTAGTTGGCGTGGACAAGTCCATGCAACAAGACTGGATACCAATGTAAATAATTAATTAATTGTATTTATTTTGTTGTTTTAAAAAAAAATAATTATATGAATATTATTAATATGTTTGTGTATGATGATTAGGAAACAAAATTACTTTTAGATATGGAAAAGATATTCCCAATTCCAAAACAAGTCAAACCAATTTCAAAACAAAAACCACTCGAATCACGTAATGTTTGGAAACCTGTCACAACAGCTTTATTTCAAAAAGACTATACAAAGGCTACAAAAGAGAAACAAATAATAGAAGAAAGGCAAAGACAAAAGGCTGCAGAATATAAATCTAATAAAGAATTCAATGCTGCTTATTTTAAGTTACCAGTTATTGATGGTAAACCTAATTTAAATGATGCAGGACATTCAGCAATGAAACAAGAACATCAATTCATATTTTAGGTTAATTTTATATATAGAATAATTACATACATTATTATATTATTATTATTATATTACCTAATTATTATAGATTATCATATTATTATATTATCTGTATTTATTTGTATTTAAAAATGTTTAGAGGAGGTGGGGTAAATGAATTAAAGTTAAAAAATTAAATTAAAATTAAAAAGTTAAAAAATTAAATTAAAATTAATAATTTTACCAGTCCCAAGAAATAAGAAAGAAACCATAATAAAAAAGTTTAAAGTTCCATAGACAAGATATAAATCCAAATAATAAAACGAAATCCTTCTGATTACCGAGAATATTTGCCATGTATATATAATATAATATGGCAATATTAGAATATGAGTATATATAAAATATTTTGAAAAAATTCTTTAAAAACAACGCTGTTTAAATTGATTACTGCTTGTATGATCAATTCAATCATTAACACTAAAGGAACAAAATTAATTGTTTCATAATAAAAGCTATTTGTTTGTTTTTTTTTGATTTTAGTATTAATGCACAGTTTCTATTCATAATACAAGTTTCGTTTTATTTGCTTTTATTTGCTTT